AGGTATTAATTGAAATTACGTTGTCATTCACTTTTAATTTTCTTAAGAAGCTCCTTGCATGTGGTTTCACATCAAGATCCTATTGATATTTTTGACTAGGCATTAGCTTTATGTGAGCTGAAGTAAATTTGAATTTGTCCACCCCAACAAACCGTTGCAGAGGGTTGATGGATTTTGTGCTTTAAGTGATTTGATGATGGAATATTTCAATTATAAATATTTTTTTTAGATTTTGGATGATCTTTGGGATTTTGAATTTTCGAGAATTTAAGTGGCATTTGAAAATATTTGTGAACCCCTCCGATTGAGATATTTGTTCAACACGACAATCATCGGGGTGTTTGGGGACATTTTTATTTATGGATTGAACCTTGTCAACTCGATCAAGGATCGGATTCCTCGTAGGCATTGTGCCTTTATTAATGTTACAGATATGGTGGCGTGGCATTATAACTTGTAGACGCCTTCTGTCTGCTTATATTAGTGTTGCAGATCTGGTGACGTGACGTTGTAACTTGTAGACGCCTTATGTCTTCTTATATGAGTGTTGTAGATCCGGTGGCGTGGCGTAATAGCTTCTGAATTGAGTTGTTTGCTACTTTATACAGGTAGACTGTCGTGCACTACTTACATGATTTATGCAGGTAGATTGTAATGCACTAACGAATCTCCTGCTTTTGGATACAGGTGAATCATAGCGTTGTCACCTAATTGCAATGAGATATTTCATTATGCTGATACAGACTCTCTTTTCTCATTCACTGGGAGGTCCTTGAAATTCATGATCGCTGCTTTGAAAAGAACTCCTTTTAGGATCATTAGTGTATTAGACTTGTTATTTCCGGTGTTTGTGGGTACCATAACTTTTTCTTCCTAAGTATAGGACCAAGAAGAAATTTTAGAACACCGGGAAGTTTAGTTCGAATTTGTTCAAATATCTCTTCCATTATGCCAAAAGGTGTCCTTTTCTGTGCATTGAGTTGTCTTCACGCTTGACGACCTTGCAGCATCTCAATCACCGCTGTTGTAGATGATATTTGTACTTGTGTCCACAATGGTTCATTGTGCTTACGATATACCCACTGTTGTTACCCACAAGTGGCTCGTATCTATTTACAAGGACCCGTTGTATTCACCACGACCTCCTGGAGGTGTTCGTAGAGTAGCTATTGTTCCTGCATCATATCCATCTTTCACCAATCTGAGGTTGTTTGATGATTGCACTTGTTCGTAGGGACGAGTCTTCCACTATCGAATGCCAGTATTGCCATCTCAATCTACAGGCAAAGTTGCTAGTGTTGGAGGTTTCAATAATGCACATGGGGGACACACGTATGCATTCTGCAACCATCTATCGTCCTTGCAAGTATGGCGCATTTGACCTCGTAGGGACTTGTAAGTGCTTCAAATGTGTTGCATTGTGTATGATGAATGTTGAATGAACTCCCCTCATTGTTAATTCCTTCATACATTTTGACCCCCATTGCTTGTAGGACTTAGTACACTTAACTGCATCTTGATCTTGTGTTTGTAACATATGGTCATGATTGCTTGCATGTATATGAGCCATGTTGAGTGTCACAAGTCTTCTATTTTCTCAACTAGAGAAAGAAAAGTGATGTTTGAATAATAAATGATCTTTTATTTTGATTGTTCAAGTCTCTTGCGATCGGACCCGAGTTTTGCATCCGAGTCCAGTTCAACATCATTTGCTCAAGCTTGTTTTGAGTTTGACTTCACATTCAAGACATGGTTCATTGAGGGATGGATGCCCATGCAAGCACACCCCCAGTGCCATAATTTGCATGCCTGCATCAGCGGTTCAAGCTCTAGTAATCTTGAAAGTTCAATTTCTTATCACTTTGGTTAAAGTTTAAGTTAGGTCCTTTATTTGCATTTGCCCAAGTCTGAATCTAAGTATAGTTCAGGCTCAAGATGAGCCTCTTCCATCCGTTCGAGTCCCCGCTGTTCTTGAAAGTTCAGGTTCTTATTCAAGTCCCCTGTGATCCAACTCAAGTCTTCGCTTAAGTTCAAATTATGTTCAATTGATATTCAAGTCTGGTTCAAGTTCGAGCTTATTTTATTTAGGTTCAAGTCTTGCTTAATCATTTGATTTGTGTTCAAAAAATAGGTCCTTGTAATTCAAGCTAAAGTCCACTAGTTCATGTTCATTTGGGTCCAAATTGTTGTTATTTTGAGTTCAAGTAAGGTCTAAGTCAAGTCTCACGTTCACCCGAAATTTTGGCAGCCTCCCAGCATCTCCCTGGAAACTATGAGAAACTGGGCCTTCCCACCATGCGCAATAAAGGCGTGTATGGTAGGTGTCCTCGAACAAGAACACCGCGGCCGTGATATTCGTTCCCACCACGTGCAATAAAGGCGTGTATGGTCTTCGACGGTACCTATTTTAAAAATGCAGTTTGCTTTCCCTCCCGCTCGGAGGTACTTATAAGTGACCCCGTCTCACAGTAGGTGCCGCATCGGAGTCTAATACCACCACGCGCAATAAAGGTGTGTATAGGTGGTTTTTCGGTGCGCCATGAACTTTGAAATGGGGTTTTAGATGATTACCAGGACTTGTCGTAGGTGTTGCACCGGGGTCCCATCCCACCACGCGCAATAAAGACGTGTATGAGCGGTTTTCTGGTTCGCCGCAAACAACGAAAACAAGCTCTCAAAGTTTTACGGTTAAAGGGGTTATACTTGTACGGGGTCGACACATGGATCGAGGCAAGAGAGGAGAGGGGTATACTTTCTTCCTTTCTTTTTTCTTCTCTTTTTTATTTAATAATAATTAAAATTAATTATCATAATAATTAAATAATTATTTACTAATAATTAATTATTTATAATTAGTAATTAATTATAATTATAATTAATTAAAGATTAACTATAATTAATTGAAATTAATTATAATTAATCAATA